CGGCCCCTGGAAAAGGAATCATTTGGTCCGGCCGCGCCTCAGCCGGAGGAGACTTTCTTCTCGCCCGCCCACGCAGCTTCGCCTCGCCCGCACGCACGGCACGCACGAACACGAAACCGAAACCGATTTCCCGGTAGGAGGGCTCTCCGTTCCACTTCGATCTCACCCCCTCACCTCCGATGTTCGGGTCGGAAGCGCGCCTCCAATGAGGACATCTAGTATTAGTATGCCTCTGTGCGTCCCCATGCCCCCCAGCTGCGCGTGGGCGCCCCCTCTGCGCGGGCGGCGCGCCCTCTGCCGCCGCGTCGGTGCCGCCCACATGCCGGCGATGCTGCCCCGCCAGGCCCCCGGGGGTTCTGTCAGGAGGAGGAGGAGGAGGAGGAGGAGGAGGAGGAGGAGGAGGAGGAGGAGGAGGAGGAAGGGGGAGAGGAGGAGAGGAGAGGAGGAGGAAGGAGGAGAGGAGGAGGAGGATGAGGAGGAAGGAGGAGGAGGTGGGGGAGAGGAGGAGGAGGAGGAGGAGGAGGAGGTGGGGGGAGGGGGAGGAGGAGAAGGGGGAAGGGGAGGGGAGGAGGGGGAGGGGGGGGGAGGAGGAGGAGGAGGAGGAGGAGGAGAGGAGGAGGAGGAGGAGGAGGAGGAGGAGGAGGGAGGAGGAGGAGGAGGAGGAGGAGGAGAGGAGGAGGAGGAGGAGGGGGGAGGAGGAGAGGAGGTGGGGGAGGAGGGGGAGGAGGGGAAGGGGAGGGGCGGAGGGGGAGGAGGAGGGGAGGAGGGGAGGAGGAGGAGGAGGAGGAGGAGGAGGAGGGAGGAGGAGGCGGAGGAGGAGGAGGAGGAGGAGGAGGAGGAGAGGAGTAGGAGGGGGAGGAGAGGAGGAGGAGGAGGAGGTGGAGGAGTCGGGGGGGGGAGACATCGACCCCCCGTCGCCCCCTTGGGGGGGGAGGCATCGACCCCCCGTCGCCCATTCGTCGCCTAGAGGGGCCTGATGGCCCACCCCGCCCAGGAGCGTGCGGCTTCGCCATCGGGGGCCCATCGCTGATCTTTCCTCCTCCTCCTCCTCCTCCTCCTCCTCCTCCTCCTCCCTCCTCCCTTCTCCTCAGTTTTCGGCTCGCGAGGAGCTGCCGCCCCCCTTCGGGCGCCTGCGGGGCTGCAGGCGAGGGGGATCTGGCTCCTGCCGCGCGCTGAGACTAGCGCTCACGCGACGGCGGCTCCCAGGGAGACCGCCGCACATCATAGAGCGCGACTCCGACGCAAGGAGGATCGCGCCCTCCTCCACGCCTGGGCGGGGCGCCGCTCCCCTGGCCTGGCGGCGCGGCTGCGCAGTGCGGCCCAGCGACTGGACGGCCATCACGGCTCCTCTGCAGGGGCAATGGCGCCAGCGCCGGCCAAGGTGCAGGAGCAGCAGCCTAGGCCGAGGGTGCTGCGAGGTTCGAAGAAGCCGTTCTGGAGCTGCGCGTGTGGCATGGACGGCAACTGGGCGTGCCGCATCGAGTGCAGCTGTGGCAAGCAGGCGCCGCAGCGCATCATCACGGCCGCCAAGAAGGCAGATGCAGCTGCACGTGCAGGTGATGCACCATCGAAGCGAGCTGGAGGCAGTGGACTCGTTGAGAAGCCTGCGCCGTGGTGCTCGAAGTTCAAGCTCATGGAGGCCGAGCTCGCAAAGTTGCGGAACCTCGTCGGCAAAGGAGGCCCCGCAACTCGGCTCAAAGCGGAGGGCGACAAGCACCAGCACACGGAAGAGAAGATCGAGAAAGACCCCAGCTTCGCAAAGAGGACGGCGATTCAGGAAAAGATCAACTACCACGAGCGGGCCCTCAAGGAGGCCGTCAAGTACGAGGAGCAGGATGGTGCGGCCCATGCGTACCACAAGGCGGAGATTGACAAGCTCAGGGAGCAGATCCGCGACCTGCGGCCTCCTGCAACGGCATTCAAGCTGGCGACGCAGAAGCTCGAGCGCAGCAGGACGCAGCTGGACAAACTCACGAAAGATCATGAGGCATTGCAGCTGCAGCTACAAGCACTGCAGGAGCAGATTTCAGAAAAGTCGGCGTCGATCGAGGCAAAGAAGGACGAGGTTGAGCAGTTCAAAGCGGAGGCTGAACACCACCAGCGGCAAGTCCAAGTTGCCCGCGGTGAAGCCTCTGATGGCGCTGCACCCATCATCCCCGAGGACATCATGGCGCTCGACGTCAACCTCGCAGACTTCCAGGAGGATCCTGGCCTGCTGCAGTTCTACCACCAGTGTCGAGCGGACGCCAACTTCCAGAAGCTACAAAAGTTGGTGCAGAAAAAGCTGGAAGTATCCATCCCCAAGGCTACGGCTCCAAGGAATGGTGTGCAAGTTCCTGTTGGCCATGAATCTGATGATGGCCTTGATGGGACAAGCAGCGGAAGCGAAGGCAACACCAACGGCGAATCCTACAAGCGCGGGAACGACACCCAGTGGACAACGGAGGACGTCGAAGCGCTCCACACAAAGCTATGCCATGGAGAACACGGCCACGAGATCTCCAAGGATCAGCTTTCCGACATGGTGGCCGACCTCCAGAAAACCAAGTTTCGCAAGACAGATGAAGTGTCTGCAGTACCAACAGGAGGGTGCAAATCCTAGCATCCCGCCGCGGGTCAGTGGGCTGATGGTACGACGTGGAAAGACATGTGCTACACCTGCACCTGTATCCATGACAAGCGAGCACCTGTTCGAGACATTCAATGCCAGTCAAGGGAAGCGCACGCTTAAGCTTCGATTGGTAAGGACCAGCGCGCTAGTTGTTTTAGCGCAAGAAATAGGACACTTGGACTGGGAATGCGAGGCCCTTTGTACATGGGCTGGCTCCCGAAAGTGGCAGATGATGGTTATCCCAGGGAAGCCTACAGATGGGCATCTTCCGTCAGGTGGGCTGGCTATTTTCGCAAGGGAAGGCGTTGGGCTACGAGGCCCTGGGTATCCCAATACCACGGCCGCTCGAAGACAAAGCGAGACGAACGCGCAGGTCGCATTCGGGTCAGAGCTGGTACCCCACCGAGCTCAGCACGTGCTCGTGGAACTGGAAGGATGGCCGCCTATCAACGTCTTCAACATTTACCTGCATACGGCCGAGGGCATGACGATGAGGAACGCTAGGATCCTCATGAACGTAGGGCTTGCGATGGCAGGACAGCAATACCCATGTATTGTTGGAGGCGACTGGAATATGTCTATCGATGAGGTCGAGGCATCAGGGTTCCCAGTACACGCACAAGTCGGGCTCGTCAGCCCAGGCCAGATCACATGCAGGGGTCCGACCAGCGCAACGACGATCGACTTCTTCGCATTGAGCTCTGGAGCCATGCGGCTGATGGGGAAATGCCAGGTAGATAAGACATGGCATAAGAAACCGCACCGCCCTGTTCAGCTGTCGTTGTGTGGTCACGGAACGACAATGCAATACCTTACATATGTTGGAGGGACAAAGATTGCTGCTGAGAAAGTTGTGGGACCATTGTGGTACGAAGCGGACTGGGAGTTTGAGCGGAGCTATGCGGCAGAAGCCTATCGACAAGCAGCTATTGCACCAGTCGCCGTGGCGTGGAAAGTACTCTCACGTGCATGGGGATTCTGGGCGTGCAAGGCTGCAGTGCGGCTTGGCCACATCACGGGCGCTGTTATCAAGGCGCCAGATGCTTTCAAAGGCATGATTCGACCCAAGTGGATTTCGTACGCATATGAAGGTCAAGACGCTGAAGATATCCAGGCAGTCGCTGACGGCTGGCAATGGTTTGCAGATGCTGTTCAAGGGATTGCTGCGCTCAAGAACGGCCGTGGTCAAGTGCAAGAAAGGCAGCTCACGGATGAATTCCAAGGTTTCCTGGAGACTGACTACGTGGGCCAACATATCAGTCATCGTCTTGACGCCTCCGTCACAAGAGCCAGACGATTGGTCGGTCGTGCCTCAACATCTAGCGAAGAATTACATGAATTTCTTGCAGAATGCGAAGAAGATATGGAGTATGCAAAGCAGTTGGCAGACCGCGACAGCTCTACTCGCTGGAAGGACTGGTGCGATATTGCATGTGCAGGAGGGGCTGGGCGCCTCCATCGCATCACAAAGCTTAATCAGGTGCAGGCGCCGACAGTAGTGCGCACGACAACCTCAGATGGCATGAGCGGACATCCTCACCAAATCGTATTGGACATGGAAGCCAAGCACCACAAGCTGTGGAAGGCGTCAGGGGAGGCACCGTTTGTGTGGGCACCTGATCGCAGTACCATGGATAGACCAAGTCCAAGGTTGATCAGAGCAGCATCGAAGGCATTCTCCACTAAGACCTCAAGCAGTCTTGACGGCATCCACCCGTCAAACTTTCAACACCTGAATGACGAGGCCCTGGAGTGCCTCTGTGACATCTTCCAGGCGGTGGAGGCAATCGGTGTTTTTCCCATCCAACTCACGTGGATGGTGATGCCAATGCTGCCCAAGGCTACCGGAGGACACAGGTTGATCATACTATACTCGGCGGCGTACAGAGCATGGCAGAAGATGAGACGACCTAGCCTCGACATGATCCAGCAAAGGTTGGACCGACCCTACTGGGGAGCGGCAGCGGGCAGAAGCGCAGTCGACAGCGCATGGGCCCTCGCAGCGGACAACGAGCAGAATGTATGCCAAGACAGGTATGTAGTCACGGTCGTAGCAGACTACAGCAAGTATTACGAGACGATCGAGCTGGATCAGGCGCGCGACAAATTGGTGCGCCTTGGCATGCCAGTCCCGATAGTAAAGGTGGTTTACAATCAGTGGAAGGGGCCAAGGATCATACGCTTGCGACTCCACCATGGGGGAGCCCCAAGGCACGCAAACGCTGGGTTGCCAGCGGGAGATGCGTATGCAGATGTGGTGATAAAGGCCCACGCAGTCGAGCAGTATGACATGTACACAACGTTGCATCCGCTCGTTCGTTTCGCTTCCTACATCGACGACACCGCCCTTGGCGTCAACAGCAGCAGCAAGCAGATGGTGATCGACCAGGCGGTGCATGCTACCAAAGGCTTCTTCAAGGTTGCTCGCGCTCTAGGGGCCAGCATCAACGAGAAGCTTGCCATAATCTCTAGCACCAAGGCCATAAGCGATGAAGTCAGTCGACGGCTGCAACTTGATACGAAGATCAGCATGAGGAGCACGGCGTACTTGGGCACTGATGTATCAGGAGGCAGGGCTCGGAACACCAAAGGTACGCGTGACAAGTTTCGGGCAAGCCAGAAGGTATATGGAGGCAGGCTCAAGAAGCTGCGGAAGTTCAAGAAGGTGCTAGCTGCAAAGAAGACGGAGAGAATTGGGGAGATCTACCGTGTGGGCGCGAGGCCTGCGCACACCTTCGGGGTAGAGGTCAACGGGGTCAACGACGCTGAGCTCCTGAAGTTAAGAAGGGACTACAACAAGCACGTCAAGCCCAACCACGGCGGCATCTCCGCGAGCGCGAAGATGGTGCTGCTAGGCGACCCTGCTGCCACACAGGCGCTGGCGCCTGCCCTCCAATGGTCAAGGATGGTGTGGGCCGCCACAGCCAGGCCCGCAGCTGCAGCTGTTCCTCTTGCATTGCTGGAAGCCTGGTGGCGAAGGGCGGTAACCGAACCTGGAGTGGTCAAGCAGTGGAGCAAGACACGTGGCCCCCTACAACGTGCAGCGCTTTCAGTGCAACGTGCTGGGTGGCAGACGCGTACAGGGCTAATCTGGATAAACCATCGAGGCGATGAAGTGCATGTAGGGCAACTCACTCCAGGCCTTCTGGGAATGATGCTGAGGCAAGGTCTTGCAGTGCAGCATGAGAAGGCCCTAGCGGAAAAGTGGGAAATGCAGCCTTACACGAGAGTCAACTTTGATATCCTTCGGCGCCATGTGAGGTCGAGGAAGTTCAACAAATATCAGAAGTTCTGTATCATGAACTGTGCCTGCGATGGAGTATGGACACGTCAGAAAGCGAAAGAAAAAGGCTATCTTACGGACGGCAAGTGCGAGTGCGGGGATGAGGACACGCTGGTGCATAGGCTGGTGGATTGTACTCGTCCAGAAGTCGTAGAGGCACGCTGTGAAGCTGAAATCCCCGACTCGTTCATCCAGGAGCTCCGCCAAGCGCAGGATGACCGAGTCGTCACGCAAGGGGCTTTCGCTTTTCCTGAGTGGGAAATTCCTGACATGCAGATCGGTACTGGCAGCGTAATCCTCGACGGTGATGGCAACGACTTCGATTGTACGCCTGAGACAATGGCTGCCACAGTGCTTGCTGAGACCGATCTGGAGATGGAGCTTTCGTTCGACGGGAGCTGTACGAAGCCAGACATTTTGGAGCTACAACGTGCTGGATGGGCTATCGCATTAATGGATCCACACTCGGACAAAGTACTGTGCACGATGCATGCTCCAGTGCCAGCGTCACTACCGCAGTCCTCGGCGATGGCGGAGTACCTTGCCTACGCGTACACAGGGCAGGTGGCAGACCGCCCAGCTGATGGATATGCGGACTTCATGGGCACGGTCAGGATGGCGGCCCTCACGCACGAGCAGCAGTTGCATTCTAAGTCGGCATACGCGTGCGTGGCCTTATTTGCCCAGAGTCTGCCTGGGTTCCGCCATCTCCGCAGCGTGACGCACGTGAAAGCACACCGGTCGGGAGAGGAGTATGCTTGTATGGATATGGCAACAAGAAGGCTCACGGATGCTAATGTCTATGCGGACGTGAGAGCCAAAGCTGGTGCGGCAATGCATGCACCTATCAGCGAGGACTTCGCGAAGGCTATCGACACGGCCAGTGTGAGGATCAAGAACTTCGCGAAGCTGGTCGCGGCAGTACTTCCCTTGTTTGATCGAGATGGCCACGAGCGTTGGACACTGCGAACAGCCCAGATCAAGAGGATAAGGAGTACACGTACTGACGGATGGCACCAGTGGGAGGAAGGAAACTTTGGTCTCCAATGCAAGGCGTGTTTGAAGATCAACTGCCCAGGGACTGAAGTTATGCTCAATGGTTGCGCTGGCGCCCCCACTTTCCTCAAGGCCTTCCTCAACCAACCACTCGGACATCACCTAGTGGCGGTGAACCAGAAGGGCGACGGGCTCAGCGACGAGGCGGTTCCAACGGTCTTTGTCTGCGTGGGCTGCGGCGCCTGGGCGCAACAACGCCGACGGCAAAAGCTCAGGAGGCAGTGCAAGCCGCCAACCAGACAAGGAGTTGAAGTGCTGACGAATCTTCGAAGAGGCTTGGGCCCACACAAGACGCTGGCGAGGCACATGGACATGGCGACCCCCCTGCATAGGATGATGCCCAAGGTCCTGCCCCCGCTAAGATCGAAGACTTGCGTCACTCGCCCCGTGGCAATGGCGGAGCCCGCGGGATACGAGCACAAGATGGCAGCCATAGTGGAAAGGATAAGGGCAAAGGAAAAGGTGAAGCGTGACCAG